TTTTTTTTTATCCCCAAAATTTTATGATTTATAATTATAATCATTTGCGGCATCATTTTTAAGAGACAACGTTAACAAGTATATAGTGTGACTTTCGTACAAAAGTTATTGCAAATTATTTATAATAATTTCCGCTTAATTTTTAGATAGTCATCTAAAAATTTGCCCTCCTCGCCGATTCTGCTGATAGTAAAATACTTTTAAACTGTGATTCTTGTGGCTTCTGCATTTTAATAATGTTTTCCCACTTCAAGTGGCAATTGAGTTTTCTTTACTCAAAGCTGTGCCCGTTACGCCAGCCATTATTTTAATCTTCACTTTAGAAAAGAAAGAAAATTGAGTGCCTTGTAATTACGCTTACGGGAAACTTAGGAATGCAAAATTGCACAAAATATGGAAAAATATATATTCAAACTATAGTACTTTCAGTAACACATTATCATTCATAAAAGTATTTCAATACTTCTGATATAAAATTCAAACGAATCTCTTTAATTTAATTTCGACATATATAGTTAATAGATATTGACAAACAGAATAGTTAATATTGTAATAATTATAACAATAGGTAGCTAAAAATTCTTAAAGTAGAGTTTTATTGAAATATTAGAAAGATTGAAATATTCTAACATTAAAAAAGTTTATACAGTTTTATGAACTTGAAGATAGGAAATCAACAGCAGAAAAACGTTCATCAATCGGAACATGAGAAAAATGATAAAGAATTTTTCACCGAGGTTCCATCTCTTTTATTACATTCGCAGAAATATAACTGCATAAAAATCTGCAGTCTATTTATAATATCATTGCAGTCTATATATAATATCATTCAAATTGCGTGCATATATTTTGTTTCATATATGCCCTGGATTTTTGTTCTAGAGTTGTCATCTTATCAAAATGAAATTATACACGTATACCTAACCTAAATCTAACCTCAACCTAACCTAATGAACGCTGATCCTGACATGTTTCAAGCTCGATGGCGACACGGGGGGGGGGGGCCAAACTTCTAGATAGTATCACCAATGTTCGCAACGACGCGTGGAAAACAAGAGAAAAAAAAAAAGAAAGATCAGTCTATGAAATCGAGTTTGAAAGTTCCTTTGCACAGATGACGTATGTACGCTACGAATTGTGCATAAGGACAGAGAGAGCCTGGCTTTCGCGGCTTTAATATTCAGCCATACCTTGTTATCAGTTCTGAAGGCCAGGAGGATGGGAACGTTGATGGCTATTCGTCGTGGTCGAGGTTGTGATCGAGGTCGAGGTCGAGGTCGAGGTCGAGGTCGATGTCGAGATAGTTGTCGTGATGGAAGTTGAAATCGGAGTCAAGGTTGAGGTCGAAATGGAAATAGGGACTCGACGGCGTTGGGATTCGGAAGCCGTGTTGTTCTGCTGGGATGAATTAGTATGCCGGTGTGTCGGATTCGCGGCCGTTGTCATCGGTGGCTCGTTGCTCGATTGGTTGTTGCTAGCCTGATTGCTGTTACTATTGTTCATCGGCAGTAGCATTTGACCATCGCCGTGAGCCGACGATACACCATAGCTTCGTAGCCGGTATTGCCGTTGTTGCATCGATGGACAGCGGCTTCTAGCAAAAGTACTCCTGCGTTGCTGCCCACCACCCGTCGTACTGCGTATATTAATCCCAGGCTTTCATCAGTATTTTCGTTATTGACTGCAAGGACCTGTACACGGCACCTTCTTTTGACAGCACCTTGCCTTTGCCTTGGTATCTTTTTCTGATGTCACGGCATATTGCTTACTATGACAGTCTCTATTCAACTTGTACGTATCGTTAAAATCAAATTACACGCGTTCGTTAAGCTAACACTCTGTGCTCTTTTCACTGTACCAGTTCAAGTCAATTGCAAATCTAAAAGTGTCGTCGCAGAAATTCAAATTTTTAATATCTTTTCTTCTTTTTAGATTTCTTTCGGATCACAATCACACGTGAATTATATAGTGGAGAACATCACTGAAGCAATAACCATCGATTTCCAGTAGATTATTCTTCACTGTTGTTGATATTAAAATATGCAAAGAATTCACAGTGGGTAAACATTTTGCACGATTAATTAATGTTAATTTAAATGTAAGGTTTAAAGGTTTACGAATGTGCTCTATTTGCCTATAACAAAATATATTCATGAATTCAGTTTTGTTTCATATGAAACAAGTAAATTGTTGCATTTACATTAATTTATTACATCAAATGTAATGAACCAATGCATGAATAAAAATATTTCACAGAGCACCTGATTAGTCAAAAATATACATGATTTCCTGAAGGAATTATTATATTTCAGCATGATTGAGATCCTAAGCTCACAGTAAAACAACGACTCGCACAGAATCTGAATTTCAATTCAATTGAAAATCTGTAGAGATTTTTGAAGTAAAAACTAAATCGTCGAATAAATATTAATCAGCTTAAAGTTAAAAAGCTTGGCTACGAAAATCATCAATTCATTAATTTCTTGTTGAAAGCAACTAAAAAAACATTCCCATTATTAGAAGATTGTTTATGTTAGTTTTAATTGTTCAAAATGTTTCTATTATATTCATTTTTTGTATGTATATTTTAACATTCTTGATAGTAAGAATTTACCTGTGATTATTGGTTCAATTATACTCTCTTCACTGTATATAAAATATTTCATTTTCTATTTCTATTTTCTATTTTGTTATAGATCAATTCTGAATCAATAATTTCTGTATCAGAATTAATGGATTTCTATTAATTATACATTACAATTACATAGATGGAAATATTTATGAATATTTAATTATAATTATAAACATCCATTAAAATATCATAAAATTATATGTACTTTGTATTTATAGAATTTCTGCGTCGAGTGAATTGATATTCACTGTCGTGATGGAATATTCAACGAAGTACTGAATAAATAATGAACATTGAAATTCTATAATATCGAAAAACATTGCTGCTTGATATTAACTTACAGCGCATTACGATAGGCAATGTTTTCTTTTTCTTTAATCATACATTAAACAAGAAACTAAACTTACAATTCATCTATTTGCATCATTTTTTATTGTACCAAAGAACACACTTAGTAAAATATGATACATTAATATTAAGGTAAAAATTAAAATGTAATATATGTACAGAAGCAAGAAACAGCATGCATTTTAGTTAAAAGGAGAAGCAAATGCCTTAAAAGATAATTGGTTTTACACATACACACATATAGAGTCAAACTGTCACATGCAACTTGTCATGCACTTCTTCATATATATTACTTGTTACTTATAAAAAATTCATCTGAAAATGCTAAAAACATGACACTTAAAGAGTGTAAATAATAATTATTCAGTATCTATTCAGTCAAATAATTATAACTTTCATATTTCAGTTGAATGAGTTTAGCTTTTTATCAGTTGAAAATAGGTACATTTTAAAAAAACAAAGAGTAAATTTTCAAATTTTTTTTTAATTTTCAGATATGTTATAGAAGAGAATGTCCTGAGTAAAATGTATTTTGTCTAAGACGTAGTTCAGAAGTTCTGAGAAGAAGAAAATTGCACTTGTTACATTGCATTTATTCAAATATAAATAATCTCTCTACAACATATTTGAAAATTTAAAAAAATTGGGTTTAAGATGCCCTTTATCAGAGTTTTATCTAAAAAAGATAAATAAATAAATAAATAAATATATTTATTTATTTATCTTAAATATATATATATATATATATACACATAATTAAACAAAACGCTTGTTTCAACAATAGATCTGATATTATTCGTTTAATATTATATATATTTAATATTATTTTAATATTAACAGTGTATGATAATTATTTACATAAAACCATTAAAGTATATTATATTATTTTTAATTCTAATACTGAAATGATAGAAACAGATGAATTTTCAATGTAACGGACAAAACGAAGGCGATGTATTTTCTTACCTCGAACTGTGACTCATGAGGACTATGTTTCTGTAACAGCATATAATGGATCCTGATTGTTGGGAAGCGAGGGATGAAGTGTTGATGTCACACACAACACAACAAGCAGCTCAAGCAATTTTGTTGTATTTCTTATGTAACTCAATGTTCTAACTTATATTGAAAATAAGATTATATTTCTCACTGCACAATTATTCTAGTAAATTTTATAATTTTGGCAATTGAAATAAAATAAGAAAAAAAAAGTCAGAATATATATCATTATTAAATAACATTTGAAACAAAGTGAAATATTCATGAGAATTCATAATGTCTTTTGCAATAATTAAATTCGATAATGCATAAAGTTTCTTAAATTTATACACATTATAAATACGTACAACAAAGTTTTTATATTCTTAAATTATTAAAAATTTTTTTACTAACATTTGAAAGCTTGACAGAATCAATACTTTTCATAGATTCTTCTTGGATAAGAAATATGTTCTTTTTTATTCCTTTGTTTTTTCTTTCTTTATAGCGCAGCATAATCCTAAAATGGAATCATTGTCATGTGTGCAAGTATGTATACTTAATGGAGAGCTTATATATAAAACTCCTATATACAAGCAAATAAGAAGTTAAATTACATTGTCCTCATTACTCTATGATTTTTGATAATGTTAATGATTAAAATGCTTCTCTCTTTCCTTTTTCTTGATCTAATCTAGATAATTGACAAGTCCCTCCTCTCATTATTATTTCTTAATCTTTTCTAGTTTTTCAACTCAATAAAAAATTAAAATTGTTGTTAATATATATAATTCCAGCAGTTTTATATTTTCTTTTACTTCTACTAAATAAATTTTAAACATTTTTCAATAAATATTTTATTTGACTGGAAATCAAAATGATTAAAGAATGACATCAAGAGTGATCATATAATGACAAAAGGAAGACGGATTTGTATAAAAATATAACTGTTATAAAAATATAAGTTGGTATATATTATTGACTCATTGATCAAAAGTTCAATCAATGCTGGAACAAATGATTCACCAACTTAAGAAAATATTGTATACTATTGATAAAACAGTCAGTTAGTAATTACGTTTATGAAAACGGCTGTTTTCTGGAATATCATACATCGTTGAATATCTGAATTTCCTAGGTTACTGTATTAATTGCTATTCATTATTTATTATTATTATATATATATATATTAAAAATAAGTTAATCTTTTCTTAATAAATTTAGAATAAACGAAATGCTTCTCTAAATAATTTTTTATAGGATACATGTGACAATATATCTTTCTTTTCTAGTTTTACTTTTTTAATAAATAAATAAATAAAATATTGACTTTTTTATATTGTATTGATCAGTATTTTATTAAAATACAAACTGTCGACTGACTACTCGACTACAATTTAACTAAATTTTTTAGTTGATGAGAAGTTGTCTAATTTAAAATAAAGATTAATAAAATTATTAATTTATAAAAAAAAACTCATTATTAAATTTATAAAAAATACTTGAATAGAAATTAATAATGTGATAGATCTTATTAATGAAGTGAACTAAAAAAGTCTTATATGTACATATTTGAGAAAAACTATACAAATTTTTCTATACATAACATGTATTGCTTAAGATTAAAATCAAATAATTATTACTGTAAACAGAAACTATCTCCGTAAAAATAAAATATTTTTAAATGGTTCATATATTTTTATATCAGTACTTAATTTTTTCAATAAAAAAGTTTCCTAATATCTTTTAATTATATTGCTCAGTTTATACTCTCTTTAATGAAAAGATCTCTCTTATTATTTAAAATCTCTCTTAGGAGATTTAATTGTACATAATTTCAAAATGCATACTTTGTGATGAGAAAATGCTAAGTGCATATCAGTTTTCAATATTAGAGAGAAATATTAATTTGTACATGATATTAGAATAATCAAAATATTAACATCAAAAATATATAATATATAATACAAATTATGTAAAAATTTAATAAATGTTATAAAAAATTTTGTATAATAAAAATGCAACTTACAATAATAACAATAATAAATTTAAAACATTCAAGTTAATTTCTAACGTTTTAATGTTTCAAAAAACCATTACGCATCAGAATAAATTATAAAAAAATATATTTTCGTAGATATTTTATACAATATTAATCATTTTCATCGAATAAACTTATATGCACTTCATTTTCCATTATATTGCACACTTATTAGCAAGTCGGATATTATATGCTTAACTACAATACTATGTAATTTCCACAATTCGCATTTATCTAAAAGCTGTGTAAACGAAACAGCATATGTTAATTCATTGCATGAATGAGTTTGAGCCTTGTTACAAATCTATTGTTTAAATAACTAATATATTTAATGTTTGATGTAACCATCTTTTTTAAATATAAAAGGTTTAATTATACTTTAAACCTGTTGCATATTCCAGGCATCCTGTAAAATAATATCAGTGCCACTTTTTATTTTTATCAATTCATGAAACACACAATATGTACCTCTAAATGGCAAAGAAAATTTTCTACACTTCGATATATCGAACGATTTTCTACGTAGCAAAAATATAAAACCATTAAACAGCTATCATATATTTAATTAGTATTTTAATTAAGCAACATAACCATTTCGATTAATCGAATCAACCTTTTCAGTTTACCTACACATGTGTACGCATGTATAGCGTTATGATATATTTTTCAAGAAAAAGAGTAAAAAATTATTTTCAACAGACATAAAATATCTCGGGGATCTCGATGTGAAAAGTGTATTATCTATCTAATATTTCGGCAGTTTTAAATTATCGATAGAGTAAATGTGATGCGAAGAAGCACTACACGTGAGAATTTTATGCATAATGTTAATGTTATGTACAAATATATAATTACTCGAAAATAGATTGCCGTTGAATTTGTAATAGAAGCTGTTCACAAAGTGAAATTCGTGAACTTTAATATGCTTTAAAGAAATTTAAATACAGAAGTGAATAAGTATATAGAAAGATAGATATTTATAGGCTATTTTTATATATCAAGCATAACCTACATCAGTGAGACTACCACGCTGCTTCTATAATGGTGCAAAACAAGATAAATGACATTTTAATATCCTTGCAAAAGTGGAAAGAAGTAATATAATAAATATGTGTATGTATGTATACATATATACATACATATGTACATACACATATGAGCGCGCACGTGTATGTAAGAAGATAGCAAACATAGGACGCTTAGAACATCTACAAAACTAAAAACTAAGAAAAAAATTCACTTAGAAATAATGAACATACCATAAAATTACGTTTATAAAGTATATTTAAAGTGCATACCGAAGTAGTCTGGTTATGTAATCCGGCCAATTGTCTGGAAACATTACAAGGAAGAAGCCAACTGCTATAAATATCATCCCTGCCAATTTCATTCCCATGAAATGAGCTCCGTACAAAAGAACATCCAATGCTGTAATACCATAATATATACATAATTATCGAGTAATTCTTTGACGGGCAAAAGAGTATATATTAAATTCCAGTAAAAATAATATGAGTCATCATTTTCAAAAAAAAAAACGATGTATGTTCTGAAGTGCAATAAGAAATGTATTATCATCAACTTTTACAAACCACGGTATCTAATATCTGATTTTACATTGCTTTAAATTTAAATATTATGCAATAATATTATACAAATTAACAATTCTGACTTATACTCCATTGTCCGAGAATTCAATTAATTAATTACTAATTAATTACCGTACCAGCGGATACAGGAACAGCGGTGATCAATCCTAGTGTAATGAATAGGTCGTACGTCAGAGCAATACTGAAGTTACCAAGCATATTTGCAACTGTCAAATAAGAATAAAATGTAGTTTTAATATCTACTTCTAATTTTTGTCTTTGCTATGTTCAGAATATCTCAATATTAGAAACTATAATAATTCTTCGTATTATAGTATAGAAAGAACGTAATAATTTTCGATGTATTTATAATATTAAAACGTTCAGTATATAATATAAATAAATTTTAAACGTTTCAGTAACCGAAAACAGAAATTCTCACAAGTATAAAAATATTTAAATTAATGATAAAAGAATTTTATACTCGAACGATTGACTATGCAAGTGGTGATACTTAGGATCGTACAACATACACGTATGTTCTTAATAATTCTCTGTAATTCTCTGTAATATATATGATATAAGAATATTTCTACATAATATTTTTCTAAAAAATATATACTATTATTTCTCTGATAAATATATTCTTTTTTTTTTAGTAAAAAAATATATAAGAAACGGTAACTATTATCATTGTAATATAAGTAAACCACCATCGCATTGAATATCGAATATAAATATCTAAAATGACATCTGAATGAATCTGGATAGCATCGTATCCGAATATTTATTGTAATACGAAGAATTCATATGTTCAAAATTATATATACATACATACATACATACACACATATATATATATTTTTTTTCATCTGATAATGAATTTTGGATGAAAATTTAATATTAACTAATAAAATGGCTAACCTAAATGCAAAATGCTTGCTGAAAGTAATGCCGTCCACGGCAATCGTCCCCAATGTATGCTTTCTGCTCCTGAGAAGTAAAGAGCCAAACAAATTGGCCATAACAACGCCGCATTACACAGCCCAATAAGGGAAAAGAATAAAGACATCTGACCAAATGTTGTTTCTCCTATGACTTTTTTGAACAGCACCTAGTTTAATATTATATTTTCTCTTTTATACTGTCCATCGAATTATTCCAAATATTTGTTTAAAATATAGAATGTTCTACCCAATTCGAACTTCTAAATTATTTTCAGTGCTATTGAAGGTAAAAAAATAATAGGTATAAATAAATAAGGACATAAATTCAAAATTTTAGCTGTCTGCATCAATATATTTCTAAATATGATAAATAAATGATTGAATGACAATTCTAGCAACATTTTGATGTTTACTTGTACAACATACATTCTGAATTTATTCTTTTGTACTATCTGCTATTGTGAAAATGTTATGTATTGTAAACCAGAGTTTCCCATACGATATCACAGATCATTAAACTTGTTTTGATATCAACTAAAAGATCGCATAATAAATAAATAGATATTAATATGCAAAAAAATAACAATGCAGGTCCTAAGACCATATGTGCCTCTATCAATTACTTTCTTTTTCCCTTCAAAAGTATTGAAAATAATTTAATTATTCGACTTAAATTGAACAACCTGTATGTTTTCTAAGTTACATGCTAAGTAAAACTAACAATGTTAAATACTATAGAAATTTTTACCTTATAAACCGCTGAACCAGCTGCTGCCGATGTTGCCAAAACAACACCACCTAAAGTTGGACTTCCAGTAATACCATCCATGTACGCTAAAAGTGCAATTCCAGTATTGCATAAAATCACTGCTACTATCTGTAATGGATACAGATACAATCATAATTATTATAACAATTTCATCAACACTATTAGTTTCATTATTCAATTAATCCTTTGACTGCTATAAATGCACATATGTGTTTCGCAATTATTTCTACCTTATATACACAATATAAACAAAAATGGATCTTTATGCAAATTTATAGTTGTATTAATATAACTAAAGAATTGAAACCTAAATAGAGATGTGTATCATCTCCTAAATATTATAACCAGAAATTTGCTTTGAAAAGTAAGTCTGCAATTAAGGGTATAACAATTATTAAAAATTGCATACAGTTTTTATGAAATAAACATTACTAACCCTTACTCCAACAAATTGTTCATGAAGAATAACCCATGATAACAAATATACACAAGACACGTTGGTTGCGAAAAGTGCCATAACATCGGTTGCTAATAGTATCCTGAGCGAATAAATATACATATAATTCGTAACTACCCAGAGTCCACAAAAAAGACTACATCTGATCAAGAAACGACCACCAGTAAATCCTTTGTCGCGAAAACCTCGTAAACTCTCTGCAATTATTTCGGATGGTGTATTACACTTAATTCTTGCAGATTGACAAAGAAAATAAACTGGGAAGTAAAGAATTTCCCAATTCGTACAAAACCAGGTTGTGAAGAATGGAGCATTATATGGAACCGTCTGAAAATAAATAAGATAAAAAATTTAATGGTAACGTTATATCAAAAAAAATTTTAAATGAATTGAATTTGTCGTTTCTTCATTATATATTAAAATATATAAAACATTAAATATATTACATTAACATTAACATTAAATATATATACATTAAGTATATTTCAAATATATATTTTTGTGAACTATAAATATTATTCGTATTTTTCATTTAATGTTACAATTAATATATAGTAGTATATATCAAGTTTATCTAAATGTTTAATAATTAAAATAACATTTATTAGAGCGACGTATTTATAATTTGTTGCTGTGAAATTGAGAAATGATGTTTATTTAAAAATCTATGAATTAACTTGTGTTAGCTTTTAAATTTAAAAAATTAATATTTTTACCATGGATTTTATGATGTCAGTAAATAAATGGTTACAGAATAGAAGAAAGAAATCTTACGAAACTTTCACGATTTTGAATAATATGAGTAAATTGCGGATTTTTATGTATTTATAGGGAATTTTAAAGTTATTAATAAATATAAAATTGCATTAAATGGGTACAATATAAAAATATAGATAAAATATCCAAGTATAGTGTTTTCTGTAACGTCTGATGCGTAAAACAAATTTTTCATTAATGTTCCATTTTCCTAATCATATTTTCAAAAATACAAATTTGCAAAAAAGTCTGCAGTTTAAATTTGAGAATATATAGAATAATGTGAAATCATATCTAATATTCCTATGATTCATTGTTAGATTATTATTTACAATTTTCAATATGTAGATACATAAAAATTAATTTATTATTTATTTTAAACGAATTACATTTATTTAAATTTAAAAATGTAAAAAAAATGGTACTAAAACTTTTTATTAAAATTTTTTTCGCTCCAAAAATTTGACAAAATTGGATATACTTACGTGCTGATGATGACCGGTAATAGATGAGTTAGAAAACGATGAATAATTAGGTGTTTCGGGTTTGTGAAAATACAAATACTTGATACAGTGTGTCGCACCAACCCAGCTTGCTGTGACACATATTGTGACACACACTCCAAAATATATCTGAAATCATAATATACCAATATCTTAAGAAGTAATTAATAAGTTAATGAAAAATTATGTTTAATATATCCATAAAATTAATCAAAATAAATAATATAATACGTAGGACAGAAAGACAAAGGGGAAACAATAGAATAGAAGAAATATACTAAAGGAATAAATAGAATAAAATAAAAATAGAACAGAAAAAATAAA